CACCATGGCATGCCTCCACATCATCCCTGATTCAGAAGTCATCTCTCAGCATGGATATACATTACATGGGTATAAAAGTTCTCACTATCCACAATAACTAATATGTACACAGTACATTACCAAGTTCTCACACAGAGCTGACCACTCTTCTCATTAGGAAGAACTTCCTGACAGAGCAGTTCTTCGGTGGAACAGGCTTCCTCAGGAGGTGGTGGGCTCTCCTTCGACAACAATGCTGATTGTATGAACTTCGGCAGAACACGAGAGGAAGGGCAGGAAGGGTTGCATCAGTGCTTAGTGCTTGCGAGCCTTTGTTACACATGCAGGGAAATTCTGATCACCACTTTGGGGTCAGGAAGCAATTTTTCTCCAGGCCAGTTTGGCTGGGGATCCTAGAGGTTTTTTGTCATCTTCTGGGCATCGAAGAGGGAACACTGGGGGTGGGGGGAAGGTATTTGTGAATTTTATGCATTGTGCAGAGGGTTGGACTAGATGACCCTGCAGGTCCCTTCCATCTCCATGATTCTATTACTGTAGTTCGCATGACTCCCAGTCTCAACCCCATTTTCTTGGAAGAAGTCTCCTGCTCCAGTTGGAAGAGAATATAAAGTCTATATTTTCCTACCCAAAGAGATTCTATTCACCCTGATTTGCAATACCTAAAAATATTGGACATGAGGAGCATCAATAATTTATCTGCTCCATTCCCAAAGTTTTGAATGAGCTTTCAGATAAGATGTGGTTTGCATCAGCATTGCATCAGTTTTGAATGAGCTTTCATATAAGATGTGGTTTGCATCAGCGCATGTCAACATTGCATATTTTCATACTGCCATATGACCGCAGAAACACAAATTTCTTTGTTTTGCCATCAGATGACATTTCCAATACAAAGTCCTGCCTTTTGATCTCATGATTGATGCATGCATGTTCATGAAAAGTATAGTAGTGGTGGAAGTGCATCTATGTGGTCAAGGTGTTTCCATATAGGCTGCTAATACCTTACAAATATTTACACTTCCAAGCAGACTTTGGTCTGAAATTGTATGTCCCCAATCCCAACTTTATCCATTAAGTTACACCAAGTTCATAGGTGCTGTCATTTTCTCCCTTAATGCTCAAGTGTTTATTCCCAGGGACAGAGCAAATGCCATGTTTTCCCTTGCAAAAAAATTTGTGCAGCATCAGCTGTAAAGGGCATTCCAAAAACAATAAATGCAGGGATTTATGGCATCAACGGCTATAACACACTTAGCAAGATGTCATGTGCACCTAATGCAACTATGGTCCAGTCAGTCTTCACACCAACAGTACTCATTCACTCTACTTTGTATATCTCATACTGTTTTGTATTCTCTGAGATGGTGGATGATTCCAAGTCCAAGTGCAGTCCTTTTGTTCTACAGACACCCGACTTGACATTGACCATGGCTGCCTCCAGTATGGTAACAGGGCACCTGTTGCAAAAGCCACTCTTTAGCCAACTCTAGTCCACAGTGGATTCTGCTTTGCATCATTGTTCTGGAGCTATTAGTAGCTTACAAGTAACAAAGCACTTACAGTGTTTTATCCTTCCTGACAACAAAACTATCAAGATAATCACAATATATTCAGTCAATAAATAAAGATCATTGGATCGACACCTTTGGGTTACCTTACATCAGGGGCATAGCCAGGATTTTTTTAAGTCAAGGGGCATTTTAAAAAGTTGGGGGCACAGTGCAGGCGGGGAGGGAGCTGTGCCACAATTCACAGTGTGGATGAAAACCAGGAGACAGCGAGTGCTGGATTAACACCCCCCCACACCCTGCCACTGCCACCACTTTGCTTCTTTCCTGCACTCTGTCTGGCGGTGGCCCATCCGGCAGTGTGGGACTGGAGGGTGGGGCTGGCTGCAGAGGTTGCGGGGTGAGGGCAGGGGAGGTACTCCAGCAGACAGGCTCAGTGAGAGCAATGGTGTGGTGCAGCATGGCCAAGCACCATGGCATGAAAAAAAATAAAGTGGGGGGCCTGGGCTCGATGGAAAGTTGGGGGGGCTTGGTGGTATGTTGGGGAACTTGGCCCTGAGAGACCCCACTGTAGCTATGGGCCTGCCTTTCTTGCAGGATATTGGACAAATACATTTTGACATAATTCCTGCTTCAGGGGACCAGAATATGCTTGCAGACTCCCTAAGCAGATGCACATGTGATCCATCAAGCCATAGGCATTCTAATCTGTCTTCACATAGCACAGAGACTCTTGTATAGTCATGTTCATTTTAGGAATTCCATGGTCACCATTCCCTACAATATAGGGAGCATAGGATAGTCAAAAAGGGCTGCATTCCTATGGTCCCCAGATTTACATGCTTTCCCTTGTACATGTACTCGCCAGGCCCCAACAGAGAGATGCACACCAAATTCTCACAACTCCTTCTGGCCATGCCAGCCATGGTATACAAGTCTTCTACATTTAGCCAGTGGGTGCTTTATTCAGCTCCCTTGATTCTGGGACCTACTCTTTCAGGACTGGAACCAGATTCTTCACCCAGACATATGCAAGTTGGATCTGACAGCTTTGAGGATATACCCCAAAGTTGTTTGACTGACCTCTGCCACATTTTACTGAATGCTAAAAACGTGTCAACCAGATGTTCATTCATATCCAAGATTCCTAACCTATGTGGCATCAGCAGGATTGTACCCAAGACAGTACTCTGTTTCTTCTTGATCAGAATATCTGATTTATCTGCATCTTAAGGGTCGCTGTTTTTTTCTTGGACACTACAGTTGCTGCCAATCGGTGACTGATATTAGGGCAGTCTTTTATCAATGGCAAGATTAGAATCTACTGGATTCGTCTGATTTGTCTATAGCATTGACAGTTGTTCTGTCCCATCTTATGAAATGCTGATTTGAACCGCTAGTGACATATCGTCTATAACTACTGTCTGAATTAATTCTTAATTGCCATCAACATTGCAAGACTGACAAGTGAACTTTGTGCTCTCAAGATGACCATCCACATTTGTAGTTCCAGTCTGACAGAGTAGTCATTTGTCCTGACACTGGCTTTCTTTGAACCATAGTGTATGCCTTCCACCTTAACCAAGGCCTCATTCTGCCCATTTATTTTCAGAATCCCACTTAAGATGCAAAGCAAGCCCTATATTTTCTGGCTGTATGCCAAAATTTTCAATTCCTACATTGACAGAACAGCTTCATTCAGGAAAGATCCTCATTTTCCCTGTTGTTACGAAGATTCACAATAAAAAAATTCATAGCCAGTGAATCTCAGACGCTATTGTACTCTGTTCTGAATTGGCATATCATGAGTAGTCTGACTCCACTAAAGCTGTTGCAACATCTACAGCTTTTTGCAGAAGATTACAGCATCCTCACTGGTTCAGGGTACCACAAAACAATAGAGTTCATTCTGAGAGACACAGTGTTTGGCAGGATGCTTCTCCACAACATATCTGCATAACTTCATCTGATCCCAATCTCAAGGGAGGTCAGTTTGATAATATTATCTCATCAGTGTGATGCACAGAGACCATGAAGAAGAAAATTGTATGGCTTATTTGTAACTGGTGTTCTTTGAGTGTTCATCTGTGCACTCACACAATACAACCTCCTTTCCAGCAACAGGTAACCCTTTATCCCTGCTGCATCATTTGAGAATAACTGAGTGGGAAGGCATGGCTCCACCCACAAGTCCCATGAAAGGACACGTGGAACAAGTTCTGAAAATCTTTTTTAGCTTTACTCTTGAAATTTCTGAGAAATACTCTGCACAGGCTTGAGTTATTGTTAGCATAACTGCTCAGATAATCATTCAAAAACACCAGTTACAGGTAAGCAATCTGTCCTTATTTGGTTTATTTGTTTATGATGCCTATACTGTGCAAGGCAGCTCTTCCAATTCTAAATTAATTTCAAAATATTTAAAAATCATAAGGATACCATAAAATTGTAAAGGAATATGGCAGCATTGTCAGTCAGTCCAAAAGCCATCTGGAATAGATTTTTTAAATCTTTTCTAGAAGGCTCTAAAAGACAACATCAGCCATAGCTCCTGAAGAGAGTTCAACAACCTGAGGAAACTAGGTAAAAAGGAAGTTCCTGTAGGAGAGCAGCACTAATTTATCGTAGGGCTTGGACAGAAGGATATGAGAGGAGACAGTCAAAAATTGGTGACCCAAAAGCCAAAAAGAATAGTAGTATGCCTCATGGAATTAAGTGGCTTCTGAGTGCTTATGTGAATGTGTAGTGTCTCCGGTCCAGATTATATGAGCAGTCTAAGGATTCGTAATTCCACATATGCCTGTTCTCACTGTAAACTTGTACTTGGTTGCACCACAGTGAAGGTGGGAAACTCACGCAGCTGAATGCTTCTGCATACCAAAATAAAAAGACACTCTACATAGAAAGCTGGCATGCCAGAGAAAAGGTTATTTTAGAACTCTCCTTCCTAACATCTAGTTTTATTACTACAGAGATCAATAATCTGAGCTTCAGTCTGCCAACTGAAGTAATAAAGGCCCCAAAGAGGATTATCAATTCAGTGAGAACTAGGCCATAGATGAGGACTTGTAGGGACTTTTCATAGTATTCTACCGGTGAGGTTCTCACAATTCCACTTAACCTCCTCTGTTCCTCAGAGTAGGCATGGTGACATTTACCTCCCATACATAGGATGTGTCTAGACCTTTGCTTTCCAGGGAGACTGTAGTGCTGTTGAATAGGGCCCTGTGATAGCAAGCAGTTCTGCGAAGGTTGCTTGTTGACGTTCTGATATGGTGCCACAGACAATGGAGGTCAGGGACCACACTGAAAAGAAAAGTGTGGTCTCATCCCAGGTAGACTATGATAACAGTATACGTTATTTACAGTAACCATATGTGTAGAATTAGAATAATTTTTCAGGATCTTTTGTCTCATGTTTGATATGTGCATAAATATTAAAATGAAGATATTTTAAAACATATCCATATTCTTTCTTTTTTGTTTTAACAGAGTAGCTGAATATAGACATCTCAGGCTGCTGACCGAGGCCACCAGGGTCTGAACTCATGGAAGCGATGATACTAAACAGTGCAATGAACATTTTCTTTATTTATGTACTTACTATTAAAGAACTGTAAATGCAATGTAAAGACACACACAGCCACACATATCCCACAAATACTCTACCTATGTTCTCTTTACTACACCTTCCACCTTATTCTATTTCTTATCAAACACATATAAAGGAAAAAAATCACTCTCCAGGAAGAAATGGATTTCCCTTGTACATAATTTCTTTTTATTGCATTGCTATGCAAGCTCACCTTTTTAGCTATGTTCATATTATTGTCTGTTCTTATTGGTCTGTTGTACTATATGTGAATTAATAGGCTGTGGTGCCATATAATAACTTTTAATTGTGTAACTTTTTATGTTTAAAGTTTGCACTGCAATTTTTTTGTTGGTGATAAGCACAAAACCCTTACTCCTCGTGACATGAAGAAGAAAAAGACTGAATGTGAAAGGAGTCTATGTACTGTAAGCTATGTTGGATAATGATGGATGTAATGAATTATGTTAGGTGGTTTTCCAATTGGGTGTAGATTTAGAAAGATGATTTGCAAAACTGATGTTGGCAAAGACTTATTGGGGCATCAGAGATGGAATGCTGTCTGAAATAATAAGCAATGTGTTGCTTTAACCATTTTAAAAAGGGGTCAAATGATGGAAGTGTGAGTTTCAAGACCAGACTAGATCTATGAGAGCCTCTTCTCTTCTTAGTATCTGCTTTTATTTGCTTAACACAGTTGAACTTGCTTCAGAGGAAAGAAGTTAAGGTGTTTCACTAAAGCTGTTATGTATAAACAGTTTTAAAAGAATTACTATATGACTGAGTCACTATCTTCCCCACTCCTCCAGGAAACATAAACCATATGAGCTAGAAGAATACCTAGCAAAGTTAAAGATGCAATTTATAACTGAAATATATCCAAGCTGCTTCCAAAAAAGTTAGACTATTTTAGTTCATCTTTCCAATACATGTACAGTACAATGGAAGGTTTAGAGCTGCATCACTTGAAGTTCATGGCATATTTGTTTTTATGCAGGCTAAGACTTTTTTTGTATTGTATGATCTGAAATTGTCAGACATTGACAATTAGTTTGTATGGAAACCTTGGGTTACAATGTTTGAAAAGAAAGCAATGATAAATTTATGCTTAGTTTGAAGTTAATATGTCCTTTGACAATGCAGTACATTACTGGAAACTCAATAGACGAAAAACCATCTTTGACCTATTTTTGATGAGTACATTTCAAGCCTCTTCTTATGAAAACATGATGCATGTTTATACACTTTTTGAATAAACCAAACTCTCTGTAAGTGGACATTAACAAAAGCATCCTGTCTCATCATTAGTTCTCATGACTTACTCCAGCTTCTCTACAGTATTTTAGTTCTGTATTAGAAATACTGTACATGTAATTCAAATGCATTACAATTTTTATTTAAAGTTTACATCACAGAGCTTACTTTATTCAGTCACATCATTATTACAGTCTTGCATTCAAACACATCTTAAAGTAGAATCAGTCCATGTTGATTTATATTTGGCACTCATGCTGCTGTTAACTGAATCACACACTTAGACGAGCATACCAATCTGCTGAATATGTTTTGCTTTTTATTACATCACATCAAGATTCTTGATAAGATAGAGCATTGTCATTACAGGTTTTAAGTCAGCACTGTCAAATGTCAAATTATCTTATTTACTTATGATCAGGGCAGTGGTGAGCCAAAAATAATAATAATAAAAATGCAAGGACAATTTATTTTTGGTGTGTACATGACCAAGGGATTTTATGTAATTTTTCTGCTTACTTAAATGCTGGATACAGTTAAAGCCATTATTTTGTAAATGTATAGAAATGTTCAACAAATGTACAAAATGGACTTTTGTTCTTTCTGGAATTTATTGAATATAAGCAACATATTCCAGCAATAGTAATATGTGCACAAAAATGGTTTATGTGTGCATATCTTTGTAATGGGGACACCATAAATTGCTGCTGAAGGGGAGAAATCCCCATACCCCAGCAATTTCCTTGAGCGTCTGGCATAGCTGCATCTGGGTCTGAATATAGTCTTGTTACCCGTCTAATAGCAGATTGGTGCTATGAGAAGCTTCAGGATGTGTTTTGTATCAGTGCCTACCAATTACGAGGCAGTAGTAGACACAGGGAAAGTGACATGAGTCATCCTGAGAGCCCCTCCCCCAGTACTGATTATCTGATGATAGATGCTGCTGATCTGCAGTTAGAGGGTTAGGATAGGGAAACATCAATCCAGAGTCGTCAAGTGTGGGTCCCTCTTTCTGTAAGCTCTCTCTCACACAAAAGACGTTTTGCTCTCCAGTCAGGATTGTACAGCATTAAGCAGCCTCAATTTTTGCTGTGCTGTATGACAGTTTTATACAGGTGGATTCACATGACCATTTATACACTTGCTTAAATGGTGTCTTTAGTACATCCTAGTTATCTGAGTGCTTAAACAGGCTACATGTACAGCACTCTTCAAAAATTAGGATATCCTAATAAAAGTTGGCTTGTAGTGTAACACTCGTTGGACTATACATGACAGAGATATATATGGATACCTACCACTATGTGAAAAAACATGCCTGGAGAAAAGAGTTTAATTACGAATGATCACTTGAATTCACCTCAACTAAATAGGATTTGGATTTAGGGATTTAGAGTTTACATGTTACCGGAAATGGAAGAGTTGCAGCCATCTGGGTAGTTCTCATATCACTCTAGGTAAAATATATTTCTGTCATTATGGTTAGGCTGACTTGTATGGTTACCTACCATGGAGTAATGACCAACTCATTATGTGTTGTGTTAACAGTGTGGAAAATAACCATGCAATCTGTATGGTGAGAAATGTATACATAAGTACCTGAAATAGGTGGGTGGCAGCCCTCTTAAGTGTCTGCAGCCACATTAGTGTAAATCAAGTCCTATAGCAAATCCAATGTACAATATTCATTCAGTACATTCCTCACAAGTCTGTACTGCTTTCAAACTGCACAGGGGAAATCAACAAACCTTCCATTTGCAAGTGGACTTTGATATGTGCACTTTGTGGTGGTACATTCTTTTGAGGACAGTATCATGTGACCACCCTGAATGTTTTAATTGGCTTTTAGAAGCCTGTGCTGAGCTTTGGTGGAACACCTTACTGGCTAATGTCACCTTAAAATTCAACTTGTGGCTGTACCAGGTACCTTCTGATGTTTTTTCCATTTGAAAGTAGTGTGTCAGTATTAAAACTGTGCAGCACCATAATGTGGTTACCATATAATTCTCTTTCTAGTGACCTGTTAAAGAGATTTTTGTATGCAAACACCCCATTATCTTAAAAATGAAACCTCTCTTTCTCATTCCATCTTCTGCCTGTTCAGAATATTTCAAATGATCACTGAACATATTTTTTAAAATGTAGTGTGATTTTTCATTTTTTAAATAAAAATCTCCCCACCTTTTTTATAATTGGAAATATTTTTTGTGCATAATGTGTCTAATGGAAAGGGATGTAGTGGCAGCACTTAGAAGTGTTTTCTAATTTTTTTAATACAATTGTTCATTGACAACAGCTTGTTCGGTCACAAAAAAAATATTATGACCTCTTAATGTGTTCCATGTGTTAGTGAAGCAAAATTTAATGGGCATAAAAAGTTGGTCAATAGTAATGTTGAGTGTGTTGTATATTTACTGGGAGAAAATAAAACTTCCACATTTCAAATCTATGCTACAGAAACTTGAATTTAGCACTCAGTATCTGATAAGTATATGTAAACCTGAACTGTAAGCAGTCAGGTCATTATACCATATGCTGAGTTTTTGCTTCCATAATACTCCACATATAAACTGGCCTTATAAAATCATATAGTGGTTGTCTGTACTTTCAGAATTGCTGTTTATGTCACTGAGATTCCAAAGCAAGCAAAAAAAAGGGGGGGGGATGGGACCTGCTACAGATCTCATGAGCAAAGTCCATAAACATGAACAAATAATTTTTTGTACTGTCTTTGTAAATGCTGACCAAGAAAGTGTAAAAAAACAACAACTGCTTTACTGTGTTTATTTTTTCACATTGTGATTGGTTGGCGTTGTTTCAAAAGAGAAGTGAATTAAGCAAAAAAAGTGTTATTAGGTGACCTTATGTAATGAATTTTATTGGGGCTATAAGACTAAAAAACAAGATCTGTTGTGAGATATATACTCCAAAGCATTACCCACCATCACAGTTGTGTAGTCTAAAATCCTTGTGTTGTGCTTCGAATTTAATGAAAAATTCACCCCAGTTCAGCAATTGATGACTGATAGTGTTGGTTGCCACAGCGCAACTGGGCAGCCTATATCAGGAGGCACTAGAATGAATGACCGACCTTGTGACATATTTCCCATACGAACTTGACTTGCTAATGGAAGCTTAGCTTACACCGGCTTTTACACCATGCCACATTTACAGATCAGAATTCCAGGCTCTGAAGGACTGGTACATGATGCCCCCTTTCCTATAGGACTGCATCCATTTGTTTAAACACATGTTTAAACACAACCACCATTCATATTCCTTTCCAAATTCAGACTGAATTCCTCTATTGAAATTGAAAGATTCATGAGCCTAGACAACAGTCTATGGGTTACTGAAAAGACATAGTATCTAAAAATGATATGCATGTTTCTAAAAAAATGTGTGGGACAGACAAGGACATCAAGGTGAAAAGAAATATGTTACGTGAATTCGAGAATGAGATAAAGACTAGTTCCTATTCCTGTGTTTGGACTGGGTCCTGAAGATTTTACCTATGAGTTCAACTGTCTATGTGACTGGAGTACTTTCTAGTAAAGGTAAAGGTTCCCTTGCTCGAAAGCCAGTCAAATCCGACTCTAGGGTTGCGGTGCTCATCTCCGTTTCAAAGCCGAAGAGCCAGCGCTGTCCGAAGACGTTTCCGTGGTCATGTGGCCGGCATGACTAAGCACCAAGGCGCACGGAACGCTGTTACCTTCCCACTGAAGTGGTACCTATTTATCTACTTGCAATTTCTTACTTTCGAATGGCTAGGTTGGCAGTTCTTTCTAGGATATAAGCTGAAACTTCACATCACCAAATAGCATTGAAATGACAAGACAGGAA